TGCTTGGGAAGTGGAAGGTTCCCTGGACGGCTCATCTCTGACGTACGTTGAAACGATCAAAAGAAAGCTCTTGGACCAATGTTCACTCCGCAGACGGTATCTTTCAGCACATAGCTCCAAACCGAATGATCTAAGATGTTACTGAAATAGAACTCAATGGTCTCGAATCTTGATGAAGACCCCGAAAACTGAATCAGACTGGAAAGGCATCGTCCTATGAAATCTTTGTGACTCATCGGATCGGTCTTGAAACTGTAGCAAGACAGGTGTGCCTTCCGGTGAGCTTAAGTCTCTGCTCACGACTCTAAATCCAATGATTCTACCTGTTCTGGATCCGGGACCTGATAATATCCAACTTTTCTGAAGACCCTGTAAACTGAATCGGACGTTAAAACTCCCCGGATAGGCGATCATTCTAGACGTATCGGATTGTTCCGGAATGGACTCGAGAGAGGTCTGTCTTCTGGTGGCCGTATCTTTCAGCTCGCTGCTACAAACTCATCGATTCCAACTTTTCTGAGATCTAGACTCAATTATCTTGATCTTTTTGCATGACCCCAAAGGCTGAATCGGCCGGAAAGACCTTCTGGTAACGCGATTTCGGAGATGTATCTGCACCTGGGAATTTTTGCCGAGAAACTTGAATAGCCGGTATGTGTTTTGGTCAAGAGGACTTCCCGCGGTACATGAAAATCGCCGTCCCGCAGTACATAAAAATCGACAAGTACCTCCAAAAGGCTGTTTTCACCATTTTTAAAGCCCCATTTACCATTATTTCTCCTGACTTCATCTTTTTAGGTCCAAACTGGTTCCAAATCACCTGTAAACACTCCAAAACATGCAAGACTCACTTGGACCTAATGCAAAACCGCTATGTCCTAAAACAACACCTAAAGGCCTAAAATTCATGGAATAAGATATGATTTAGAATGAAATATACAACCTAAATGATGCAAATTATGAACATATCAACTCCCCCACACTTGTCCTTTACATGTCCTCAAGCAAAAAGAACAAATGAGAGAAAGAGGTTGGATGCATTGGGAGTTCATATTCCTTAATGAGAGAGTGTATCACTAAAACAGTTCAAGGCTCATTGTCCTAGTTGCTAATTCTAAGATGCAATGCAAACAAGATTACTCACAAAACTTTTGCCATACTCATCCTAAAATGCATCAAGCTCAAGCTTAAGTTTTCACAAACAGCCATAGTTCCAACCTTTTGACATTCATTAAAGCTCATGTGGATCATGGTTATGTAAATCATGTGAACTCATTTGTCTTGGGACAGGGTTATGAGACAAAGTTGATCTCATTCAATGCTTATGGTTTCAATGCAGCTCAAGGGATCACTCAAGAAGGAATAAACTTTAACAGAAGGCTAAGGGTAAAAGGCAACTGATGCATACAAGAGTAGAATCCCATCTACCCAATGCCCCAAGTTGGTCTTTCACCTTAACTCTACACTCATGAAGATCACACCCTAGCTACTATACTCTCAAGGCATTCATTGCCTCACCAACCCACTCTTTACTTCACTCTCACTCTCTATCTCACCAGGGGACTCATCTTTTCATCTTCAAACTCAGGCTTTGGGGTCTTAACCTTTCACTTAGCTCTTTCTCACATAGCACTGTCTAGCCTCTTTTCTTTTCTTCTCAAACACTTGAGCCTTTTTGGCTTCTTTTCTTTTCTTTTTACTTAGAGGCTACACTCTTCTTTTCAACACAAAAGAGCTTTTCTTTCTTTAAACAACAGACCCCAAACCGATTTCTTTTATTTTCCATCCCCTGGTTCTCATCTCAATCTCTCTCTTTTTTTTTTCACTCAGTGTTTCCCAAGATCTCTTCCTAGCCTACTCATGATGCAGAGCTAGATCTACATGAAACTCTACTCTTGTCGCCATAAACCCAACACTTTCTGTCAAGTTTATTCAGAAAAAAACCTTACATCTCTCACTAGAGTGTTTCAGGCTTCCAGGAAGGTTTGGTTCAAGGCAGGGAACTGTGTCAAGATGATAGAACAGCTATTTGAGCTAACAAAAAGTGGTAAAAAGGATAACAGAGCTCAAATATTTTAAGGATACCCATGAGTTCACAATGACATGCATAAACATGATAATTAGATTGTCAAATTATGGTTCTCACTTAGATAAGGCTGGAAATAATCGAAGCTTGACTCACTCAACATGTTCAAAGCATGGATCAGTCTTGACTTCTTTCTTTTTTACATGCATCAGAGAACTAGAAACTAGGGCAGTGAACCGAATTCTTAAAGTGATATTCTCTCAAGGAAAAAACTATCATTACTTCCCAAACGCAATTTATCCCCATAAAGCTTGAACTTCTTCTTTTTTAAGACCGATCTTGTTGGAGAGAGGTGTGTTTTTAGGCGCAGAGAATCCAAATATCTGAGTCAACTCCTTGAATGTCACCATGTAGACCTGCCCTTTCACCTAAAACTGTATAGTTCCGAGACCTCTTCCTTGAATCACTTTTGGATCCCTTGGCATGTACAAATCAATTTCAAGAGAGGCCAAGAACTCTTGAGATTCCTCCTCATAAGCCACTTCTCTCAGTTCCAAGAGGGATTCAATGCCCATGTTCCCAAGCAAAGTTTTGACATCCTCATAAATGCCAACCTTCTTCAAAAATTCCACATCAAGGAACCTCCCTTGCTGGATCCCCATTTGCTGAAACTTGTCCAGATAATCAGGCATTTCTGGTTCAGTTTTCTTAATCCTCTTGGGTGCCTCTTCAATGGCGCCTTGGGAACCTCCAGCTGAGCTGCTTGAGCCACTTTCAGTTTGTTCATCATCAGAGACCACAGCCAGTTGTTTTCCTTTCTTCTTGGAGCCAGAAGCAACCACCAAAGCTTTCTCCTCATTCCTTGTTCTTTTTGGCTCTTGTTCACTCCTTCCTTGCTTTGTACTCTTCTTGGTGCCTTGTCCACTCCCTTTTGGCTTTGAAGATCCTGAGACCAAGCTCTTGTCTTTGGATGCAAGACCTTTCTTCGTGCGAGCTAGGGCATTGGTTCTCTCAATCATCTGCCAAAATGTTTCTCAGAAACAAGTTAGCACAAGATCAAGTTCCACAAAGTTCTCAAAATTTTTGAAAAATTCGTTGCAAAAGTCGATTTCTAAAGAACATGAACAAGTTTCTAAAGCCAAGCATCAGTCCAATGAATTCATAGCAATGCAAAACAAAAGTTCAAAGCAAAGACTCAGCAAGAAACAAGTTCATCTCCTTTTCAAGAAAAATCGATTTTTCCATGAATTATCTTGCAACAATTTTCAAAACTCAAGAACAGTGAATCACCAAGAAAGAGCTTTGTTTTCCATGATAATCTAGCACCCTAGCATTTATAAAAAATAATCCCAAGTTATACAACAACCTATTAAAATCGATTCCACACAATGAAGCTCAAAAATCACCATTTAAGAACACGGAAAAAGATGAGTTTTAACGGAGTGAATACCTTGGGATTATGATGCAATGAGTACAAAATGCTAACAGGATGAGATTACCAACTCAAAAACGAGTTCAGAGCACTTTGAATCAATGAATTTGGTGAAGTAATGAGAGAGTTATGAAGGAAAAAATGGAGAGAAATGGGGTTTAGAAGGCAAAATTGTGTTTTACTTGAGGAAGAGAGAGTGTGGGACTAGGTACAGCCTTTGGACTGGTGGTCAATAGATCCACTTTGACCAGTCAAGGCTTGACTTCCTTTTTTGTTGACCAGACTAAATTTTCCTCCTTTTTGCGACTTGGGACTTGGCCTGCTCATCCCGCACAACTGACTCGGTGTGCACAACAAACGTTTGTGTGACTTGGGATCAACTCCTTCCTATCTCGCAGGACCAAGTCACACATAAAAATCTTTTTTTAAGCTTCGGCCTTCTCCTTTATCCTGCGACCTGGCCTGACCTCCTGATGACCCGCACGCCCTTCTCGGTGTAATCTGCGAATGTTTATGCGGCCTGGGCAGATTCTGAACCATCTCGATCGCTCAGGTCGAACATTTTAATCTTTGTACGACCTGTTTGCTTCTTCTCATCGTACGGCCTGGTCTTCTTTTGTTCCAACTCGCATGACCAGGTCGTTTTTGTTCAGCAAACATTAGTGCGACCTAGGACCTTCCCTGTCTGTCCCGCATGACTAGGCCGTACGTTTCAGCACTTGAACGCCTCAGGTTCTTTTCCTGGCGTGCGGTTTGGGCTGCTCCTTGATCCGTCTCGCATGACCAGGCCGGTGTAAACAGCGAATACTTCTGCGGCCTGGTCTTTTTTTCACGCCGAACCGCACGCCTGACTCGCATACTTTGACACTTGAACACTTCGGCCTCTCCTTTGTGGTGTGCGACCTGGGATCTCCTGAATCAACTCGCAAGAACAAGTAGGTGTAAACATTGAGTTCTTCTGCGACTCGGTCCCTCCTTGGTTCAAGCCGCATGCCCATCTCGCACTGATCCATCCTTGAACGCCTTGACTCTTTCTCCTGGTGTGCGGCCAGGTCTTCTTTTGGTCTTTCTCGCACGCCCAGGCCGGTGTAAATAGCGAGCATTAGTGCGGCCTAGTCTCACATGTATCCAACTTGCAGACCCAACTCGCAGACCAGCGACACTTAGCATTTTTCTTGCTCAAATTTTCTGCTGCTAGGTGAATAACCCGCATACCCAAGTAGGTTTAAACAGCGAGTTCTTGTGCGAGTTGGTATATGGCCTGACTGAGCCGTACACCCAAGTACACACAGGCGTCCATCGAGTTTCCATGCCTTTACCCCTTTCTCAGCCTTCTCACAAGGTCCATTTCATTTTGTTCTTGAGCCATAGCCTCCAAAAGTTACCTGGGACCTGAGAACAACTCACAAAACCCATCAAAAGATCCTAAAACATGAAAAGAAAGAAAAGAAAAGATTAAAAGAACTATGTACAAGGATAAGCTTGGGGTGTCTCCCAAGAGCACTTTGTTTAATGTCACTAAGTTTGACTTTGAAAACCTGTTTAACAGGCTGGTGGATCATCAAGAGGATTTGTAGAAGCCTCCTCTCTCTTCTCAGAAACAAGGTAATGCTTGACCCTTTGACCATTCACAACAAAACCCTTTCCATCTTTTTCCTCCAAGACCAATGCTCCATAGCTTCTTACCTGTAAAACTCTGAATGGTCCTGACCATCTTGACCTTAACTTACCAAGAAATAGCTTGAGCCTTGAGTTAAACAAAAGAACCAGGTCTCCCACCTTAAACTCCGTCTTGAGAATTTTCCGATCATGCAAGATCTTGGTCTTTTCCTTGTATATCCTTGCACTCTCAAAGGCATTGAGTCTGATCTCTTCAAGTTCATGCAACTGGAGAAGCCTGTTCTCTTGGGCTGTTTTAATGTCAAAGTTCAACATTTTAACAGCCTAGAGAGCCTTGTACTCAAACTCTACTGGCAAGTGGCAGCTCTTTCCATAGAGAAGGTTGAACGGAGATGTGCCAATAGGTGTCTTGAAAGCAGTCCTATAGGCCCAAAGAGCATCATCCAACTTCTTGCTCCAATCTTTCCTTGACTTTCCAGTCTATAGTTTGAGTCGATATGCTTGAAATATTCTTGTAACAATTCATATGCATTGCATTTAGTTTAGCTTCACACAGGTTGCAAAACCTTCACTCGAGATTAGGGTTTCTTCTCGGATGATCCATGCTTCAAGGATTCTGAAACTACGGCAAACAGAAGAAAGAGTAAGCAGAAAAATAAAAAGTTAGGGTGTTTATGAGTTTGGTTTACTTTCTATGTTGTTTTGGCAGAAACTCGACATATATATAGTCTTATGCGGCTTCAACGTCCCAGGTTTAGACCTCCAGCGACTAAAAACCTCCCCAGAAACGGCGCCAAAAACTTGATGGGAGCTAGGGTTGATGTCGCAAAAGAAGTTTTAAATTTATAAAACCCTAGTGTCTGCAAGTGCACAAATGTACGTTGTAGGACTTAGGGTGTCGATCCACAGGGAAGATGTCTAATCTGCAAGAAACACCAAACTAGGAGAGTAAGCAAAGTCATAACCTCATGGGGGTTTGGGGTTTTTGGTTAAGGTTCCTAAACTAAAACTAATCTAATATTTACGGGAAATAAAATGCAATGCAAATGAATTGTTAAAAGAATATCTCAAGGATGTCGACTCAAACTATAGACTCTAAACTCATAGCTGACGATTTAGACTTCTCCAGTTTACTCAAATCGATGTCAAAGCATTTCTAATTAGTTTCCGGGCGATTTATCTTCATCTATTTCTGGGATCTGCATGGAATAGAATAGACATGTGTATGATTAACCAACTCTCGCCATCTTAATCAACTAATCACTCAAATCTGACAATTAACTCTCGCTCTCATGCCAGAGATAAGATAACGCATTAACTATTGAATTTGTCTGCTCACATCTTCCCTACAAATAGCTCTCGATTCCTGTAGAGGTTATGTTCTTCTGAAGCTAGGTATGAATCATCTGATACAGCACTCTCGTGGCTCTGATTGATCCTAGGCTCAGAGAATATGTCTTGAATCTACTCTCATGCAATATGAACAACTTAGAAGAGATGAGATCCAGAATATGGTCTAAACTAAGAAATCATAATCAAACATATATGCCTATCGATGACTCTTCAACAACTTGATTCTCTGGGACAGATCTACATAATGCAAGGAATGACAAAAGATGAAATAGAAAAGTTAATTAGATGAAAAGGAGAAAGAACAATGGATCCAGGGAAGGATCCCCTTCTCTATCGCCTAACCCTAGAAAAACAGAGTTTGGTGGCTAAAAATCTCATTACAGGAGCACATACCTTTTTAGGCTGCTAAGAAATGTATTTATAGGTCCTAAGTCTTCCAGGTCTCATTTAGGGCTTCTCTAAAGAGGAATGTCGAAATGGGCTTTGATGTTGGGCCTTGTGGCTCGGAAATGGTCCACCGGGGGTGAAAGTCTTCCGGGGCAGGCAAAATGAATGTTTGCCGCGGGTGAGAGTCTTCCAGGACTGGTGAATTTGGTCAACTTATTCTCCATGTACCTTTTGATTGCACCGTTGGATCTTCCTGATGTAAAGTGCTATGGAAAGTTGGTAGATAGGACTTTTTAGGTCTCAGGGCTATCAATCCCCTTTGTCGAAGTAGCACAAAGAGGTATCAATCCAGACAAGTCAACGAGACACTAGACTATGATGTTTGTTCATTTAAGTCAAGACAAAAGGTGAAGGTTTCGAACTAAGCTAAGTGACAAACGACTAAGCATGAAAGGTAAATCAAATGATTAGATCTAAACAGAGACAGGATGCAAATAATAGCTAAACGATTCAGATGATGATAATATGTAATAAAGCAAGGGACTTTAGACGAGATACTTGATTCGGGTGCTTCCAAGTTCAACTAGTTGGTTAATGAATCAAAACATCAAGCGGTTTCATTTAACTTTGAACTCAAGGCATGTTAATCTTCTCATGAAAGTATTAAGCATCTAAACTGATTCTCCTTCATACCAAAAATGTCTTTTGAGAAGCATCGAATCAATCAGCAATAAGAGTCAGTTCAAAAATGTCATTTAAGAGAACAAACTATCACTCTCGCGATGAAAGACTCTTAAACCCATAACCGAGTGGTTCAGACATTTCTACAAACACTTTTGATGCAAGATATGTCTCAGATCTGAACCTCAAGTGATGTGCTTGGATCCAGCCTAGAGATCTCGTCGGTTAAGGAATGAAACATGCAAGACTAGACACCTAAACCCACTAATCTACCTTGAAAGCACCCTAATCTACTCATCTAAAGCCGCTTAAACGACTACTCACTAATCATAACGAGCTCATTAAGTCTTTTGCAAGACGTGTAGCTAGTCATGATGAGGAGTTTAATGATAGATGACAAAAGAAAATAAAGAAAGAACAAGATTTCTGATGCAAAAACGAGATATCAAATTAGAATCATCAAGTTTTACCAAAGAGGCAAGTTCTTAAAGCTAAAAACAGATAAGAGATCAGATCCTTAGGTTTTTAGTCTCAAAATGTATATATAGCAAAGGTAAAGTGTCGCGGGTCAGCCCGGAACAAACCGGGTACTGAACCGCGTTCTTGGGCTGATGGGTGAGTGCCACGGTGTGTCGGAGAGTGAAGCCGAGGTCTTCATGTCGAGGAGCGCACGTGAGTCCAGATCCAAATGAAGATCTCGTGAAGAACACGTCAAGAACATGCATGAACCCTAGTTAACCTTTCAAGCATTTGATCAATGAATGGTAAAGGAAAATGATCTTTTCTAGAAGCAGAATTCAATTTCCTATAGTCAATGCACATGCGATGGCCAGTTATTGTTCTTTGAGCTATGAGTTCATCCTTATCGTTTTTCACCACTGTGATCCCACCTTTCTTGGGTACAACATGAACAGGAGACACCCATCTTGAGTCAGAGATTGGGTAAATTATCCCTGCCTCAAGAAGCTTTAGTATCTCCTTCTTAACCACTTCCCTAAGGTTGGGGTTAAGTCTACGTTGGTGCTCAATAGAGGACATAGATTGGTCCTCTAGGTGGATCCTATGGGTGCAGATGTCAGGAGAGATCCCTCTAATATCAGCCAAAGAATACCCTATGGCTCTCCTGAACTTTCTTATTTCATTCAGCAATGCACTCTCTTGGTCCTCTAATAGGCTATCATTGATGATGACAGGATATGTGGAGTTTAGTCCTAAGAAAGCATACCTGAGCCCTGTTGGTAGAGGTTTGAGCTCAACAGAGGGTGCATCAGCCTCATTCCAGTCCTGGTCCAAGCTGCTTTGGCTGGTGACTGATTCTTGGATTGCCAAAACCTCAGTGCCATTCTGTTCCAGCTCCACAAACCTTGTCTCAGGACCCAGCTCTCTTGCATTGTCCAGATACAGCTTATACCCTTCACTTGCTTCAGCCAAGAGCCCATTGTCTCCTTGTTCTTGAGTTAGAGTAGCTTGAAGAGGATCCTCAATGTTCAGCTCCTCAAGCAACTCATCAGCCAACTGATCCATTGTCTCTACATAGAAACATTGACCTTCAATGGTGGGCTTCTTCATCATCTCATTCACATCAAACTTGAGCTTTTCAGACCCAAGTTGAAGCTCTATTATCCCACCTCTCACATCAATAATAGCTCCTGCAGTGGCTAAGAATGGTCTGCCCAAGATAAGAGGATCTATTGGCTCTTCATCCATCTCCAGCACAACAAAATCTGTTGGAACCTCAAAACCACCTATCTTGACAGGTAGATCTTCCAACATACCAACAGGCAATCTAACTGATCTATCTGCAAGGATAAGAGAAATCTTTGAAGGTTTGAAAACTCTAAAGCCCAGCTTCTGTGCTATGGAGAATGGCATCAAGCTGACTGATGCTCCTAAATCACAAAGACATCCAGAGAATAGAAGAGGTCCAATGGCACAAGGGAGTGTGAAGCTCCCTGGATCAGTTAACTTCCTTGGAATGGACTTCCTCTGAATGATAGCACTGCATTCATGACTTAGTACTACCATGCCTTGAAGCTCTTTTGTCTTGTTCAGAATAGCATCCTTCAAAAACTTCCCCATCTTTGGCATCATTAAGAATGCATCAATGAGAGGCATTGTGAGTGGTGTCTCTTTGAGTGCCTTCTCAAATACAGCTCTTGCCTTGTCCACTAGTTGCTTCTTAAATCTCCCTGGAAATGGGAGCTTGGGTTGGTATGGAGGTGGTGGCACATACTTCTTCTCTGGTTCTGGTTCCTTTGCTACCTCTTTACCCTTTTCTGACCTTGGTTTCTCAGCAACTTGATCATCCTTTAAGGCTGCCTCCCTCTCAGGTTGATCATTGTCCTCAATGATCACATTGTTGTTCTCAATACCAGGTAACTCCTTGCCACTCCTCAGTGTAATGGCCTTGGCATATTCCTTGGGGTTGGGTTCTGGTTTTCCAGGTAGGTGACCTTGGTTCCTTGAGCTTGATGCCTGGTTTTGCTTCAGTTCCTTGATTTCCTGCTGCATAGTCTGTTGACCCTGAAGTAGTTGTTGCAGAATACCAACCATATCTGTACCCATCTGTGGCTGCTGTTGAACCATTGGTGGCTGAAACTGTTGTTGAACCGGCGCCTGCTGTTGGAACTGTGGTGGACCAAACCCTGGTGGTGCCTTTGGCTGCTGTGAAGTGTAACCAGTGCCCTGAAATGGTTGCTGTTGCTGACCAAAACTCTGATTCTGACCAAATTGATTCTTGGGTTGGAATGACCCTTGAAAGTTGTGCTTGGGAACAAAGTTCTTTGGAGCTTGAGAATTGGGATAGACCTGGTCTTGTGGGTTAGCTACATTGGTGTTCCTGTAAGAGAGGTTTGGATTGGCATTACCATACTGATATCTTTGGAACCTCTGAT